TGCTAAGGAGTTGTACTCCCCCTCCCCACCTGAAAAGAAATCTGTTCCAAATGCAAAACACAAGCAGAGGAGAGGAGTTTCAGTTTTAGTTTCACAGCAGCAAGAAGCTTTAGTACAGAACAGTTGAGTTAAGACACACCCAAGCTCCTTGCTGTCTCCTTGCTCACACAGCAAATATTGTTTCAGTTTCCAAACAGCCCTCAACTCTCACACACTTACCAGGATGCTAGCCAGATTTTTTCCCCCTTATTTTCCTCCCCCAAAACTAAGCCCAACCACATAGTTTCATAGTGAAGCACAGGTATCAAGCTAGTTTACAATACAGTCTTACACTTTGTATTTAAAAGTAGATTACATAGAATTTAGTGGGATTTACTTCCATGTAAGTGTGCTTAGAATAATTCTTTGCCATGCCTACGACAGAGGTGCAATACCTTATGGGCATGAGAAACGAAAGAGCTGGACTAGGGAAATGCCAAAAAAACATGGAAATCTTAAGTATACTTTGCAATCTGTACCTCCTAAGCTAACTTCAGTGAGAACAGCCACTAAAATAAAATGCCATTTAGCTAATAAGACATTTGACAGCTCAGGTAAGATCAGCTCAGATTATCCCAAGGGTATCCCAAACTCTTCAGATCATTGACTTCTTCATAAAATTTCAGATTGTTCATCACCCCTCCCCCCAAATATTTATTACCATATTTTTCTGACTATAAGATGCTCCGGACTGTAAGATGCACATTAGCTTTAGAGAAGGAAAACAAGAAAAAAAATATCTGCCTCCCGGCAATTTGCCTCCTTGCAGTAAACAGCAAACAGTTTGGTGAGCTTCAGCACAGCCTAATTTAGCATGAGCAGCTGATAGGCAGGTGGGATCAGCCTATCACCCATTAGCTGCGGGGATCACCACCATCACCGCCCATTGCCATGAGCCCCATTTTTGGCTTCTTTGTGTCCCATTCAACCTCCATGCGTCTTGTTTTTGGTCCGTTCCAAGCAGCGGGAATAAGCTAAAAATGGAACACATGGAGGCCAAAAATGGGGTGTGCGGAGGCCGAAAATAGGGCATGCAGAGACCCAAAAAGGCACATGGAGGTGGCAATAGACAGCGACAGCGGTGATGGACAGCGGTGATCCCCACAGCCTGGAAAGCTGATGGACGGTATTCCAGGAGGCTGATCAAACCACCTATCAGCTACTCGTGCTAAATCAGGCTGTGCTGAAACTGACCAATCTGTTTGCTGTTTGCTGCAAGGAGGCAAATTGCTGGGAAGCAGAGGCCGGCGGGTGGGGGCCAGCAATATTCGGTCTAGAAGACACACAGACATTTCCACCCTTTTTGGGAGTCGGGGAAGTGCGTCTTATAGGCTGAAAAATACAGTATAGTACTACAAATAATAATAAAATAATAATATTCATTCCTTAGATATCTCCATAGGAATCAATATTGACCATTTTGAAAAATCCTAATCTATCAAATCCTCAAGAACAGTTAGTCAATAATAGGCTGCTCTTTAAATATATATATATTTATTTAAAGAGAAGATAATCATAAGCATTGAATATTTATACATTAAAATAATATTTGTATTAAACTTTTATAAAAAAAACTTTTGTTTTTATTCCAAGCAATTTGGGCTGATGTATATAGTCTTTTCCCCTACAATTCTCTATTCATTTGATAATCTATACTTAATATCCTGCTTTTGTTTGCAGCTCCCTACAGTTATAGATCACAAAAATCTAATAAATAAAGAAATAATAAATCTTACTTGACAAAATTCCTGTATGTTCCTGACTGTTGCTCTAATTCTTACTTCTGCAATCAAAATTCTGTAATTCTGCAATCAAAAATGCTATAATTCTATAAAGTAAGCTGTCACCTGAATAGTAATAATCTTAGAATACAACTGAATTGAAGATGTATAAATACTGCAACAAGCAGCCGGTGTACAGATCGGTACTCAAATTTATTGTTTGGATAGAATCCCAGCCTCTGGAATATGATCCTTGTTTACTCTCTTTTGAACAACTGTTGTATGCCTTTCCACTTGTCGTAACTGTGGTAGGCGAGCAAGTGTTAAAAACATCACGATATAAGAACAGGTTAATAACAAAACAAGTCAAGCTTATGAAAATGCAGGCTTTGTGTGTTTTCATCTGGCTTATACATCATCGTGGTTTACAGCTTAAGAAGAACCAGGGCCTTCTTAAACCAGGGCCTTCTTAAAAGCAAAAACGTTAGGGCTAACCAAAGGGGGGAGGCACTATTATATGGGTAGGTGCTGTGATAGAGAAGACATGACCCATTAGATAACATTGATGCAACCCAGAGCATGCCTTATTGGATCTTGTAATATAGACATACTGTATATAAATAGAGACAGGAGGCTCTGAAATGTCCAGGGCCTGTGCTGTATTGGACTTTAAAGGTCAGGGCTGTCAAACTCCCAGCTCAAGGGCCAGATGCATCACGTGCTGGCCATGCCCACACCTGGTTTAGCAAAGAGGGGGGAAGTCCCAAAAAGTCATGTGATGCCATCGTGAGTTTGACACCCCTGTTATAGGTGAACAAAAACACATTTTTGAATTAATGTTTTGCAAAGTTTATTTAGAAAAGTCTACAATATAATATATACAGGACCACTAAATTGCAAATGCATGATCTCTTGGAAATGCTGCTTTCATTGAATTCTGCCACTAAATCTATTACCAAAGTGTATTAAGAATCATTATGCTACCCAAGTGTTTTTCTTCCGGGTAAGAGAATACTACTGGGCTCATAAATATTTAGGCTAAGTGTTTTGATATGTTCCACATTGTGAGAAGACTAGCCTAACTATTTTTTAAAATGCTCAAAATTATGTCATCCATTTCTAATAGTATCTTGCACAAACAGGAGGAAAAAAAAACATTTTTCTGGAATTTTGTGTGACAAATGTGTCAAACTGGGATGGGAACATGTATAATGAAAACCGTTTGTGTGAGACTCTTAAGTTGTTATTGTATTTTTAATTTTACTGATCACACTAAACTTCAACTTTCTGAAAATATTTGCTTTTTTTCCAGGCCAAATTGCTTTCTACCTTGCTATGGAGAGTCCAGATTATTTCTTTACAACATTTTCAAAATATCACACAAGATCTCAGTTGCCCAGTATAAGATCTATTAATTTATTTTACCCAATATACTCCCCTTCTATCTCTTGCATGTGAAGATCACCCACATATTTCTCCTAAAATAACAAAGAGCAACCCAATAACACCCACACTTAATTGGCTAAGTTGTCACTGAAATACTCTGTGTTATCTATGTAGACATTTTAAAGGCAAATTAGGGCTCGATATCTGAGGAAGAAGTATTGTAAGAATTATATTTATGTACTTCTAAGAAGAAATATGTCTGAATTCTTCAGTCTGTTGCTGTTCATTAGCCATGATGGCAGTCCCATCTAAAAGGCAGGAGATGACATAAGCAAATGATGCTGATTTAGTAGCAATAGTAAAGAAATCCCATATTAAATGCTCACTTTAGCTATAAGCTCCAATTTAGTCTCCACATCTATAGTTTGAAGATTACTGTGGTGACATAAGTTAGAGTAGTGTTTCTCAAACTTGAGAACTTGCGTGTCTTCAACTCTTAGAATTCTGGCTGGAGAATTCTGGGAATTGAAGTCCACACATCTTAATATGTTGCCACATATAAAAATTGCCAGGTTGAAAAACACTGGCTTAGAAAATGGTGATCCTGCAACTGACTGAAGTTTATAGGCCCAAGCCTGTATCATTTTTTTAAAATCGGTCTTTCCTCAAATCAGTCAATCATATTGTAGAATCCGTCTGGAGCACAAAACATTATTCTTCACATACTTCATGCTGTTCTCTTAGAGGACTAATTTTTATCTGTTCAGTGGGGGAAGAATAAAATCTGCCCGTTGATGAATTTCTAAAATGCCTATCAAGTCAGAGTTTGAAGACCTTTGATCAAAGTGAACGTATCTTTGTCAGAATGCTCTTGGTTTGTCATTTTATTATCAGAGTATCTAGAAGTTATCATTTAGAAGCTCAGGTTGTTAAATTTGAGGATGAAAGCACATTGGAAGAACTGTCAATTCATAAGGGAGTGAGATGGTGTTTAGCTGATCTGATGCAATACGTGCATACTGTACAGTATTTCCTTAGAATAATGTTTGTCAGCCACAGCAGCTTTAAGATTTATGGACTTCAATTCCCAGAATTCCCTGCCAACTGAATTCTGGGAGTTGAAGTCTAAACATCTTACAATACTAAGTCTGGAAAAGATTGGCATAGAATCAAGCACCATTCTATATAGTCAGTCTTCATCATAGGCACATTCATTTACAGCCATCATCTTTTATTACTGGTTTTAAAATAGGACATAATATGCATATGAAAAAGAACATAAATGAACAAGGAAAAGTAGCATATCACTGACATAAAATAAAATATATAAAAACAAGTTTAATTAATCAAGGTTTGTTTTAGAAATGATGCGGACAGTTGATAATAAACATCAACAGCTGGACTGAGTTCAGACACTGCCATGATGCAGCATCCTTTTGTTTATGCTGTTAATTCAGCCAAGGCTGCAGACCTTTGCACACTTGGGAATCAGTCCTACTGAACTGAGTAAACATGTGTAACATTAGAGTTCCTGAGCTTTTCCAAGTCATATCTTTTCAGCTTAGCTTTGTGTGTCAGTCCGGCAGCATGCATGAAATAAAATGTCCATATTTATCAATAACATAATTTTACAGAAAGCATACCATATATTATGATATCAACATTAAAAGTCACAAGAAATATGTTAAAACAGCATTTTCAAGAAATCAGATTTTTCTTTTGGTAGAGTATAAACATCAGCTTTGCCTCCAGTCACAGCAATGAATTTGATAAGATTTCCTTTTTTTCTAAGAGTAAAACCTGTCAATTCTCTCAAGACATTCTGTAATAAACCCATCTTCTACTTCATATTTGTGGTTCATATTCAGTTCTCTCTTTTAAACAACACACACATTTACATGCACAGACACTTTGCTTGGCTTTCAACAGTTCAAGAAATAGCCACTTTTCAAATTTTATCTTTTGGTTTTTGATCCAAAGATCCTGCCACCCTAACAGAAAGTACTTCCACCCACAGGATGTCACACATGCTGCTGAATTTCAGCAGTTAGGAGGCAGGGGTATGAACTGAAAAGACAGGAGGTTGACAGACTACCCTGGATTATTTTATTTTTAAGAATTGCCTCCTCCTGCATGGAATTACAAGAGGGTTTACTTGGGGTCAGAAGACCTTCTCTGCTCTCCCCTAATCTTCTCACATTCAACATAGAGAACAAAGTTTACCTAGTGGTTGGTGGCACTGAGACTTCAGAATAATGTACTGTATTGTTGTCTATTCTTGCAAAATTCCATTTGCGTAGGCATTTGAGCCTGTTTTTAAACACTTTTAGATTATCTGAGTATGCAGTTCTTTTTTAGCTCTTCGTTTTTTATTCCCCCATAGACATGGGGTGAGGGGATTACTTGAAGGAAATATGTTCTGTTTGATTTAATTAGTTGTTCGAAGTAAGAGTATATTTAAAACAGATAAGACTTTATAATTATTTTCATATACATTGACTGTCATTAGAAATCTATGAGAGAGGGAAGGAAGGAGGGAGGGAGGGGGGAGAGAGAGAGAGAGAGAGAGAGAGAGAAGGGGGCGTGCATAAGCGCACCAACGTGCCTACCATCCCTGTCCTATTGTTTCTTTTATTTTTCTTATAACTAGCCATTTATTCATAACTACGTTCATACTTATACCTATTATCTTGTAAGCAATTGACAAATCAAATCAAATAAAAATAAAAGTATCTGGGTGGGTCTTGCTCAGATGACATTCAGGAAACTGTTAAGGACCTGTCCCCCGTCCCTCCCAGGTTTTAGGGCAGAATGAAGGCTGCAACCCTGATGCATGAATATTTTTTGTTTTTGTGATTTTGTTTTGTTTCTTGTTTGCTTGTTTTGCTGTTTTTGGTGTCACTTGTTATTTCGTGTTGTCTTTTATATATTATCGACTTACAACCATTTCTTTAGTGACCATCTGAAGTTACAATGGCACTAAAAATGCCTATGACTGTTTTTCAACTTTGGCTGTTGCAGCATCTCCATGGTCATGTGATCAAAATTTAGGCAACTGGCAATTGACATGTATGTATGACAGTTGCACTGTCCCAGGGTCACATGATCACCATTTGTAAGTTTTCCAATCAGCCTCCAACAAGCAAAGTAAATGAGGGAAGCCAGATTCATTTAACAACCACAAGATTCACTTAACAACTACAATGATTCACTTAACAAAAAGGTTGTAAAATGAGGCAGTATTTAATAAACAACTGTCTCACTTGGCAACAGAAATTTTAGGCTCAATTGTGATCAGAAGTCGAGGACTATATGTGATAATGATGGTGATGGTGATAATAATAATAATACATCAAAAAAATCTGCCAGAATATCCTACCTCTTTACATGGACAATCTGAAGCTGTATGGAAAAACATCATCAGAAATAGAATCATTGCTCAACACTGTCCATATATACAGCCAAGATATTGCAATGGAGTTTGAATTGGACAAATGTGCTGCACTCACTATCAAACTAGGAAAAATAGTGAAAACTGAGGGAATCAAGATACCCCACGAAAATAACATAAAGAGTCTGGGTGAAGATGAGTACTACAAATACCTGGGTATCCTTCAAGCTGACAACATCAAGCACACTGAAGTCAAGAAAAAGATTAGAGATGAATACATCAAAAGAGTGAAGAAGTCCAAACTCAATAGAGGAAATTGCCACCAAGGCAATCAACACCTGGACAATTCCAGTCATTAGATACACAGCTGGAATAGTGGACTGGAGTCAAGCAGAACTAAAAGCAATGGATAGAAAGACCAGAAAAAGTATGACAATAGATTGTGTCCTTTATCTTTGCAGTGACATTGACAGACTCTACCTACAAAGGCAAATAAGTGGGCGTGGATTGTTGCAAGTACATCAAACGTTTGGAGAAGAAAAAAGGGCTTGGGAAGAATATCTGAAGGTCAATGAAGAAGATGCACTGAAGTTAGTGTACCATAAAGGCTTATTGACTAGAGAGACCATACTGGCCTACAAGAAAGACCAAATGCAGAACAAATGGAGGCATGAGAAGGCAAAGCACTACATGGACAGTACATTAAAAAAATAGCAGGGAAAGTAGATAAATAACAAGACCTGGCAATGGCTAAGAGCAAGAAAGTTGAAGAAAGAGACCAAGAGACTAATTCTGGCTGCATAAGATCATGCCTTAAGGACAAATACATACAAAGCCAGAATTGAGAAGATAGCAACGGACAGAAAGTGCTGCTTATGCAAAGCAGCTGAAGAAACAGCAGACCACCTGGTAAGTTGCTGTAAGAAAATTGCCCAGCCTGATTACAAGCAGCGGCATGACAAAGTAGCAACAATGGTACATTGGAAGATCTGCAAGAAATACCATTCTTCTGCAAGCAAGAACTGGTGGGATCATAAAATAGAGAAAGTCATAGAAAATGAAGAAGTTAAATTCCTCTGGAACTTTAGAATTCAAAGAGACAGGCACTTGCCACATAACATTCTAGACTTAACAATCGTCCATAAAAAAGACTGGATAGTGGATATGGCAGTACCTGGAGACAGCAAAAGAGAAGAGAAAGAATTGGAGAACATAATAAAATACAAAACCTACACATAGAATGACCGTGGCAAAGGCAAGCAAAGGTACCAATAGTAATAGGCACCTTGGGTGCAATCCCAAATCAATTGGACCACACTTGAACACCATTGGCATTGACAAATTTGCCATCAATCAATTGCAAAAGGCAGAAATGACTGGGAACAGCTTCCATCCTGTGAGGATATCTGTAACACCATCAAACATCCGGATTTGCCTAACCCAGGTCCTTGGTAAGGAGTTGATAGATAGACAAAAATGCCAAACCCACTCTGAACAGCTGCATGGCTATACAATGATCAATGATAATAACTTATGTTTTTAAACTAGAAAGAGTAGGGTTGGAAAGATAAAAATCAACCTCCTCTTTCTGAGAAAAATGCTATTACATTCAGATAAGGGTTTGCAGGGGGACATTGAAAGCTTGATATGCTATTCCACCTGAATGATAAACGTTTATTTAGATTGGTGGCCAAATATTTTGTAGACCACTGATATGGTAAATATGACTCAATCTCTGTTTTCCCCATGCACAGAAAAGGATAGTGAAAATGTTGCCATATTTCTACCTACAAATTTAACTTGTGGAAACTATAGCTGTAATGATATGTGAGAAGAACCTTGGGACACAGGAGGAAGAGCCACAGATTAGACAAGTGTCATGTAGAAGATGTCTCAGTCCACAGAAAGGATGGCATGGGAAGTGTTCCAGAAGGGATCCTCCCTTGGGGAGATATACTATTGTCTTGCATGTTTCGGTAGTGCTAGTACTCACAGTTTGTGCTTCTTGTCTGAACTACCTTGAAGGGTTGACAAAGGTTAGTGTAAAAAACAACTTCATACTGCCTATTTTAAGAGAGGGAAATGGACTTTGTGCTGTATCTCTGCCATTTCCCTACCCTCTCCCATTTGCAGGAACAAGTCCAGTATTGGGACCCTGGTCTACATCTAGCAGCTCCCCATATTATTTTAAATATTGATCTGCAGACCTGCAAATCGCACAGAGAGCCCACGGACAGCGGGCTTCACATTGCAACTCTTCCCTTCCCACTCTGTGGAAGAAGGCAAGAGGGGCACAGAGGCACAGAGGAAATAATGACTGTTCTCCAAAGTGATGCTAACTGCTCAAGGACAATGTTCCTGAGCTGGTTTTTCATATGATGTTTAATGTTTGCCAAGTAATAATGTGTATCAATGTTCCTGCTCTACTTTAACTGGATTAAATTATTCCCTAAGAGTTTCATTTCTTAATCATTCTTAATCTTCTGGACCCAAGCTTCCTTAATCATGGTCCTTTGAGACAGACAACAAAAATAATATTTTCTCTGGAATGAATTACAGATGGAGTTACAGCAAACTTGCTGCCTGTCCTGAAATTGGGTAGCAGCATGCCAACTTCCCATTGTTTAAATCAAATAAATTATGTTTTGTCTAGAAAGCCAGGTGGAAGAGAAACTAAAGACAAATATTTATTTTGTCAAAACAACCATGATAGGAGCATGTGCAGTTTTTGCTTCATCAACTTTCTATGAGATTCCGGGTCTATTAAAAATCCACAAATGACTTTAGGCTCACAGGGGTTTTTTTTGTTTTGTTTTTTGTTTAAATTTTATTGGTTTTTAAAACAAACATAAACAAACAAAACAAAAACATCAGGCCATCTTCCATATCTGTTCATACAGTGTGCTGGTTGGTTTACAAATTGTTTTGTGCTTCCATTTCGTAGTCTTCAATTACAATTACACTGTATATGATCTTGTATTTTCAATCCAATATTAAATACATTGGTATCATTATTAATCAATCATTTGACTATACTTTTATTCATTCATTCTTTAGGAAATAATCATATTTTACTTAATTTGTTTTGTGAAAATTCATATTATCACCCCAAATCTATCCTAAAATCATTTTGTAGATATAATAAGGAAAGAATACATCTTTATATATTTAGTATTTTCTAAAAGTCTACATATTTCGTTACTATACTTTATTGTCTAACCATTGATAGAATAGATCCCAAACTTTATAAAATTGTTTATCATCCTGTTCTCTAATTTCAAATGTCAATCTGCTCATTTCAGCTCATTCCAATATTTTCTTAATGATTTCCTCCTGTGATGGTGTTTTCTCACTTTTCCAGTTTTTAGCAAATACAATCCTAGCCGCTGTTAATACATTTACAATCAGATATTTGAAGTCTTTACTATATATTTCAGGTAAAATTCCCAATAAAAATATCTCTGGTTTCAGATCTATATGTTTTTTTGTAATTTTTTCCAACTACGTGTGGATTTTAGTCCAATATTTTTCAGCATCCGCACAAGTCCACCACCTATGGTAATATGAGCCAGGTGTCTGATGACATTTCCAACATTTTTCGGATTTATTCTTGAACATTCTTGGTATTCTTGTCGGGGGGAAATGCCACCTGTAAAACATCTTATACAAATTTTCTTTATACCATGTTTCTCCAACAATACGACCTCCCCCCAATAGGAAGACCCAGCATGTTTTCTAGGCATAAAATGAAATTAAGCCCCTCCCCCCAAATTTAGGCCTATTTTAAAACATGCAAAATGGGGGGAAGGGCAGGGAGACTTGCCGTTAGGAGCACCCCCCGGGCAGCAATTCCTCACCACCAGCTGTTCCTAATGGGCGATCATGGCAGAGTGTGGAGAGCTCCCTACTCCTGCCAAGCATCTTTGCGGCAGACCCAAGACCTTCAACGCCCGCTGCTGTTGATTTCCCTTCTGCCCATGCTGCCGCCATGTTTGGAGCTGCCACTTCCACGTTTGGAGCATCACTGCTGTTTGGAGCACCGCTGCTGTTTGGAGCTGCCGCTTCTGCATTTGGAGCTGCCGCTGCATTTGGAGCTGCCACTTCCACGTTTAGAGCGCTGCTGCCATTTGGAGTGCCGCTGCCATTTGGAGCACCGCCGTCATGTTTGGAGCTGCCACTTCTGCGTTTGGAGCTGCCGCCATGTTTGGAGTGGTGGCGGCACTCCAAATGGCGGTAGTGCTCCAAACAGTGGCAGTGCTCCAAATGCGGAAGCGGCAGCTCCAAACGCGGTGGTATCTCCAAATGCGAACATGGCAACTCCAAACAGCGGCAGTGCTCCAAACAGCAATGGGGTTCCAAACGCGGAAGCAGCAGCTCCAAACGCGATGGCAGCTCCAAATGTGGAAGTGGCAGCTCCAAACAGCGGCAGCGCTCCAAACGTGGAAGCGGCAGCTCCAAACGCAGCGGCAGCTCCAAATGCAGAAGCAACAGCTCCAAACGGCAGCGGTGCTCCAAACAGCAGTGGTGCTCCAAACATGGAAGTGGCAGCTCCAAACATGGCGGCGGCATGGGCAGAAGGGAAATCAACAGCGGCGGGCGCTGAAGGTCTTGGGTCTGCCGCAAAGGTGCTTGGCAGGAGTAGGGAGCTCTCCGCACTCTGCCATGATCACCCATTAGGAGCAGCTGGTGGTGAGGAATTGCTGCCCGCGGGGCACTCCTAACAGCAAGTCCCCCTGCCCTTCCCCCCATTTTGCATGTTTTAAAATAGGCCTAAATTTGGGGGGAGGGGCTTAATTTCATTTTATGCCTAGAAAACATGCTGGGTCTTCCTATTGGGGGAGGTCGTATTGTTGGAGAAACACGGTAGGTCTGCCAGTTCTTCCTTTTGTCTTGATAGCATATTCTTTGTCAAGATCTTTGTCTTATCTTTATTTATTTTCAAACCAGCCACCTTTCCATATGTCTCTATTTTTTTCAAAGCTCACAGGTTTTTAATCCCCTTTCCAGTAACAAGTCTTCTCTGTACATTAAATTTAAACTTGTTTCACTCCAATTTGTGCAGTGTGAACATCTGCCTGGAAGCTTCATTTTTGCCAATGAACTTTGCCATTTCAATTTTGAGGTCCTTGAAAAAATACTTGTTATAATGTTTTAAATATGGTTTGATTGATTTGGGAAAATTATTCCCTCCTTGCCTTAAATCACTTTGATCTAGAAAAGTAGAGTAGCATACACTGTAAAACTACTTTGAAATAAACAAATATCATTTCTGAAACTAATAAAACATCCACTAATAACATTTTTCATTGAATTTTGCTTCTTGCCAAATTATCATTAAACCAGAAAATCCTAATTGGGAAGGTGCATTGGCTTCTTCTGACTAAAAAGGATTTTGTTTAAAATTGGGGTAAGAGACTGAATTTGGTAGCCAGTTTCCTAGTTCAGAAAGAAAGGAGAACTGTAATTAATTTTAAGGTTCCTGGTTTTTGCTAGAAGCTTACAAGTCGAGTTGAAGGGGCTGAATAAATGGGTAAAATATGTCTTGTTCTAACTTGAGAAAATAGCATTTAAAATTAGCCAGTGTAGTGCACAGTAGGAGAAAGGATGAAGCTCTTCCAGGAAGAAAGTGTTAATAGAAATCAGCCTGACATTATTAAGAGAACAGAAGTGGACATTGATAACTCAGTAATGCATTAAAGTTGACAAAAGAAATAGAACAAAAAGACAGTGAGCTTCAAAGTCCAAGAGGAGAGGGGAACAGTAGCTGTAGGAATGCACTGTAAAAGACAAGGTGTATTAAATCCCCCACCAAAAGAAAGCACAGTGGCAAGTTATGCAAGTAGGTTACAATCCAAGATATATTTAACTGGGAATAAGCTCCACTGCAGAGAATGAGATGTATTTTAGATTTGTATAGCTTTACATTGCAGATTAACACAGACATACATTTTCATTTTTAAGACAACAGCCTACCCCATGAGATGTGAAAATTGAACAAAGAATGAACCTTGTGGTAAATATATGTCAGGGTTTGTTTGTTTAAAAAAAAAACATGCAAAATACATGTTATGCGATACAAATAGTTTGTTTCCATGTATAATACCTGCATGTTTCTAATTCATATATATTTATTTGGGGGTCATTAATTGTAACTTCCGGTTCCTTCATGCAGTAATAAAATTGCTGTGGTGGCACAGTGGTTAGAATGCAGTTTAACTCTGCCCACAGCCTGGAGTTCAATCGTGACAAGCTAAAGATTGACTCTACCTTCTATCCTTCTGAGGTCAGTTAAATGAGGACCCAAATTTTGGGGGCAATACACTGATATTATAAACTGCCCAGAAAGTGCTATAAAGCACTATGGGGCGGTATATAAATCTAACTGCTATTGGTACCATATATACCATTGGGGCGTGCATAAGCACACCAAAACGTGCCTACCATCCCTGTCCTATTGTTTATTTTTTTTCTTATTTGTATCCATTTCATGTATTTATAACCATGTTTATACTTATACCTGTTATCTAATAATTGTTTGACAAAATAAATAATATATATATATGGATCTTTGGTTGTTCGGGTTTTCTCCCGCGTAAGATTCGAAGTAT